TTGGCTCCTCACTTTAGAAACGTCACAGTTTCATGTTACTCCACATTGACTTATATGGGGAAATATCACAGAAATGGAGGAAATCTGCAGGCCTAGTAGCCATTCTGAGCTTTCGGCCCTCTCTGCCAGAAAGTTCTGGGAAATGGATATAGAGTCAGTGTGGTGTAGTGTGGATATAGAGTCAGAGCCAGTGTGGTGTAGTGGTTAAGAGCAGTAGTCTCGTAATCTGGGGAATGGGGTTCGTGTCTCCGCTCCTCCACCTGCAGCTGCTGGGTGACCTTGGGCCAGTCACACTTCTCTGAAGTCTCTCAGCCTCATTCACCTCACAGAGTGTTTGTTGTGGGGGAGGAAGAGAAAGGAGAATGTTAGCCGCTTTGAGACTCCTGAAGGGGAGTGAAAGGCGGGATATCAAATCCAAACTCTTCTTCTTCATAGAGTTGATTATGATTTATCCTAATAACAGCCAGGTTAGGCAGAGGGCTAGGTCATTACCCCAAAGTTGCCAAATTAACCTCATGTTGGAATTAGGATTTCGGCACAGGACTCCCTAGTCCAGAATATTTTTGAATGCCTATGAAGCCTTCATGATTCCTGCTTTATGTCTGCCTGGAGTGCAGCAAAATCTAATTTGCAACCTGTGCCTTAAATGAACTGTTCTCACAAATCAAATGTTACTATTGCATAATAAAATTTCATACCTTGTCAAAAGTCTTTGCATATCACACGTTATAACAGCTCTTCGTCCTGTCTTTAGTTTTTTACTTAAAATGTGGAAAAGGTTATAAATCAGTGTTTTAGAAAAGTTTAGATTCCACCATCCTGATCGTGCTAAAAGTTATATTAGAGATATGTCCAAAGCAAACTTTTTGAAAATAATTCTGATAGTCCCCAAACTGCTACAGATCTTTTCTTTTCTTTTTTTGCTCCTTACTCAACATATTTTTCTCTAAACCAACAGAAAACAATCTACACAAATAAACTTGAGATTCAAACAAGCACCTGTTTTATATGTTGGAAAACATATTCAGAAGGTAAACAGACTTTCCAGATCGCACTGCATTTACAAAACCCTCATAGCCTCATTCAGTCTTCTCCAGAACAGTCTGCATGAGAATCACATAGTCTTGTTCAACTTTCCCCTGGAATAGATGTCCAGGAACCACTAAAGTAAAATAAGCCATTCAGTGAAAAGGTCACTGATCTTTGCTATTGTGTTACTGCTATGCTTCTAGGCACAGAAGTACAACCTCATTTATCTAAACCATCTGGAAGTTGTCAGGAGCCTATATGGAAGTACTGTTTACATTAGTTTATACATTCACTCTGAATTTGGGTAACAAGGAGGTTCGAATAATCTAGATTTGATAAACCAAAGTTGTATTGCATGTGATTTGCTATGTTTCAGATTCGAATGTCTAGACCTCCTATAATCCCACTTCAAACTTTGCATCATAGTTGTCGGGCTGGGCAGAGGAATGGTGGAGACCGCCTCCCCATCCTGACCCTTCCAGGAAGGAGGAAGAGGAAGACAGTATAGATTTACAAGAGTGGCTTGCGGGAGGTCATAGCTCAGAGGCAGATGAGGGGAAAAGCTGAGAAATAATAGGAAAGGAGAAGCAAGCAGAGCCCGAGTAGCAGCTGGCTGACACACTAGAAAGCATCCCAGACCCACCATCTCCCAGAACCCGGCGAGACTTAAAAGTAGGAGAGGAAAGAGCTCAAAAACAGAGGGCACTAAGCGGTGCTTGTAAAGGAGGTGATGATGATGATGAATGAGGAAGTGGGAGAGAAGGGGTGTGTGTGTGGAGATTCACTCAGGACAACGCCATTATCCAAGAGGCTGGGTTCTATAGCCTCTCTCTGTAGAGTTTGAAATAAAAAAGGATGGTAAGAAACTTTTCCTTGTCTTTATACTTTCCTGGGCAACCAGTTAGGGGCCGCTGACAGCATCGTGACAGAGGTACAGATTTGTTGTCTTCATGAACAGAGTTGATGATGGTTTTGTCCCCCACTATGGGATTGCAGCCCTTCATAAATGGAGCTATTTTGAAGACCCTCAGTAGAGCACCCAGACACCATAAGTGCTCATGCAACTACCAGCTGGGAAGTTTTTTTTGGATTTTGGATCCAAGTCACTGTAAATAACAAACAAACGAGATGTCTTCTCAGGAAGCAGTTATTTGATGTGACCTCTAACTTGCCACTACAGAAATTAATTATAATTAGTAGTTTCAGTTATCAATAACTGGCCTATAAAGAGCAAGGCATTTCAACGTGAAGAATATATCCGAGAGTAATTTGAATTCAGACAATTCCCTTTTTTTTTCAAAAAAAAAGATATTTATTAAAGTTTCAACATATTACAAAAATAAGAGGGGAAAAAAGAAAGAAAAGAAAAATAAAAAAATAGAAAATGAAAATACAAGGTAAAAACAGTTAAAAACAGATCAGTCTTTCCATATCTTATCTTTCATTTGCTTGTTTCCCTGACCTCCTCACACCTTCCTTTTTTGTATTCCAGTTCAATTAATTAATTCAGCAAATCCTTTCCCTCTTTGATTTTATCTTAATCTTTTATCTTAATATATTATAACTTTAGATTATCACCTGTTAACAATCCATTTTTACGTATTCCTTTATAACATTGCTGCTAAAAACCACTTAACTTCAATCCAACATCATTCTAACTTTCATTAATTTTGCAGTATTTCTGTAGATAGTCTTTAAATTTCTTCCAATCTTCTTCCACCGACTCTTCTCCCTGGTCTCGGATTCTGCCAGTCATTTCCGCCAGTTCCATATAGTCCATCACCTTCATCTGCCATTCTTCCAGAGTGGGTAAATCTTGTGTCTTCCAATACTTTGCAATAAGTATTCTTGCTGCTGTTGTAGCATACATAAAGAAAGTTCTATCCTTCTTTAACACCAATTGGCCAACCATGCCCAGGAGAAAGGCCTCTGGTTTCTTCAGAAAGGTATATTTAAATACCCTTTCATTTCATTATAAATCATCTCCCAGAAAGCCTTAATCCTTGGGCACGTCCACCAAAGGTGAAAGAATGTACCTTCAGTTTCTTTACATTTCCAACATTTATTATCGGACAAATGATAGATTTTTGCAAGCTTGACTGGTGTCATGTACCACCTGTATATCATTTTCATAATATTCTCTCTTAAGGCATTACATGCCGTAAACTTCATACCTGTGGTCCATAACTGTTCCCAGTCAGCCATCATTATGTTATGTCCAACATCTTGTGCCCATTTAATCATAGCAGATTTCACCGTTTCATCCTGAGTATTCCATTTCAACAGCAAGTTATACATCTTTGACAAAATCTTGGTTTTGGGGTCTAACAGTTCTGTTTCCAATTTTGATTTTTCCACCTGGAAGCCAATTTTCTTGTCCAAATTATATGCCTCCATTATCTGATAATAATGAAGCCAATCTCGCACTTTATTTTTTTTTAGTTTTTCAAAGCTCTGCAATTTCAATTTATCTCCCTCTTGTTCCAGAATTTCCCAATATTTCGGCCATTTGGCCTCCATATTGAGCTTTTTCAGAGCCTTCGCTTCCATCGGTGACAGCCACCTTGGAGTTTTATTTTCAAGTAGATCCTTATATCTTGTCCAGACATTATACAATGCTTTCCTGACAATATGGTTTTTAAATGCTTTATGTGCTTTGACCTTATCATACCACAAATATGCATGCCACCCAAATACATTGTTAAAACCTTCTAAGTCCAAAATGTCTGTGTTTTCAAGAAGCAGCCATTCTTTCAGCCAACAAAATGCGGCTGATTCATAGTAAAGTTTAAGGTCTGGCAGGGCAAATCCACCTCTTTCTTTTGCATCCGTTAGTATTTTGAATTTTATTCTGGGCTTCTTGCCCTGCCAGACAAATCTGGAAATGTCTCTCTGCCACTTCTTGAAACAGTCCATTTTGTCCACAATTTGCAGTGTTTGAAACAAAAACAACATTCTTGGCAATACATTCATCTTTATCACAGCGATACGGCCTAGCAGTGAAAGCTTCAAATTTGACCATATTTCTAAATCTTTTTCACTTCAGTCCAACATTTTTCATAGTTATCCTTAAATAAATTCACATTTTTAGCAGTCATGTTAACCCCCAAATATTTCACTTTCTTAACCAGTGTTAATCCTGTCTCCTTCTGAAACCTCTCTCTCTCAATCGCTGTTAAATTTTTCTCTAAAACCTTAGTTTTTAACTTATTCAACTTAAATCCTGCAACCTGACCAAATTCTTGAATCAGTTCTATTACTCTTTTAGTACTAGATTCTGGCTCCTGTAATGTCAATACTAAGTCATCTGCAAATGCTTTCAATTTATATTGTTTAGCTCCGATGAATTCAGACAATTCCCGTCCTTGGTTAATTCATAACAAACACAGATTTCTCATTGAAGCACTGCGTATTAATGCACACTTTGATAAACTAGCTGTATTACTTGCAAGTTTCAGAGAATGATTTATTCCTGTTTTTATGGGCTTCTCATATATATATGAAACCCTTTTAAGGGTTGGAAGCAAATTGCTGCAGTTATAAAAGTATGCTGGCATAAATTTTTAGACAGAGGAAAGAAATATGTGTAGCAATTTGCAAGTGCTATAAAGACTTAGTTTTATCAGATTTGAATATTACAGCTATTGCAGGAAAAGACAGCCTTATTCAGGAAAAGCCTATTTGGTTTAACCGGAGGAGTCCTAAACAGACTGCATGGGTAAGGGTTTACAACTGGAGATACTTCTGAGAAAGCACTCACAGCCAGGAAATCAACCTTCTGTTTCCACTTGCTGCCTCTGATAACAGAATGTCCATATTCTTGTGTTTCTGTTCACAGCGTTCCAGTTTGAAATACAAAATATATGTAACACAATATTACAGTTCAGGAACTATAATATTTGAATTATCCATATCCTCCCACTCCCTCACATGCACTCACCAGTGTACATGGCTTGCTAGTAGTAAGAATGGCAACTTATTTTTAAAGATATCACGACAGGATTGTTGAACAACTCTGAGAACTGAAGCTCTGTGAGGGGAACAGGATAGGCGTCTCCTCACAACTCTCAGCGTCCTTAAAGTTGATAATTGTTTTATTGATCTCTAGTGAGTCAATTTCCCTTCTTTTTTTGTTCTATGAGTTTGAGGAGGTTCCCAACTTTATTCTGTATACAACGTCTCAAATCATATGTAACTGATATATAGAAAAGACTTTACAACCTGAGAAAAGAGACAATGCACGTACTTTTGTAAACCAAGAAAATCTTTTTTCTTTTTTTCTTTTTAAATAAACTAGCTTTGGGTGATGTTTTAATGATATTACTTGTTGCTTGGTTATTGTTGTTAGGACCTTATGGTCTAAACAATGTGCTATTTTGTAAGGTTGGTTGTTAGAAGCCCTCAACTCTGGACTGGAGGAAAGGTGGAATTTAGGAATCTTGGAAAATATAAATATTTGAAGCTTTGCTCCAGCAGCAGTTTGGCTGCTGTGAGAAGGTTTTTTTTTTAAAAAGAAAGAAATAAATGAAGCAAAACATGATGGGGTGTGGTGCCAGCTGGCTGTTGAGGAGGAAGACGAAGCTACTAGGCAGGCAAGCAGGCATGCTACGTGAAGGGACACATTTGGCTCCTGGGTCTAATGTTCCTCACCCCTGATTCAGTGGGTGCTCGTCAATGTTAGTAATATGCAAGGTATTTAAGTCCACTCATTGCAGTGGGGCTATGTGTATGACTTAGATGCATATGGGTGGTGTAATGGTAGGAATTAGAGTGACCTGGGAGGCCAGGATTCAAATCTTTATTCAGCCGTGAAGCACACTAGGTGGCCTTAGGCAACTCACTTGTCAGTAATTCTGAAGATTAAATGAGGTTGGGGAGACCCATCTATGCCAGCTTGGAGAAAAAGATGGCATAGAAATGTAATAAACAAAATCAATATAATTCATTGTTATGTGTGTGTGGGGGGGATGAATTCAAGATACGCTTCAGAAACATTTGCTGCAGTTCTTAAATAGTTTGTGTTTGTTATGAAAATAAAATGTGTTTACAAAAAGTTTGATTTGCATAATGGATGGGAGAATATCTAGCATATGGTCAACAGATCAATGCACATTGTACTCAGTGTATTTATAGTATTGCAGCATTAACAATAGTGTTGAGTGATGACAGATAAGACTACATGCGAACAGTCTTGTTTTAACTCTGTAAATGTTTTTGGGAAATGAGCCATTTCTCCGACCTTTCAAGTTTGATCAAAGAAGGACACGTTTCATGTTTCACTCTGCTGCAAAAGTAATCCTGGAATAGCACAAACAAAAGGTTACAAAGACCATATTCTAAATAACACAAAATTAATAAAGTACCAATTATCACGAATAATATATTTGTTAGATAATTAGTTCCTGCAATTTTAAAATAACTTTTTCTCAAAATAATTTTATTGGCTTCAACAAACAATTTGAAGAGAAGAGATTTACATCTAAAAATGGATCTGAATGATTGCATTAAAATAAACACACATTTAAGCCAAAATATTCTGTGCCTATTGGGGTGTTTTATTTATTTATGTTATTACATTCACATTCCACCTTCTGTCATGGAACTCAAGGTAGCCTTCATGTGGTTCCCAGGTATTCACCCATCCAAGCACTGACCAGCCCCAGACCCCCTTATGTGTCTTCAGACTATACCTTCAGACCTGTTCTACACAAGAATGTATGAACAGCCCTGTTGGATCAGGCCAAATGCCCATCTGGTCCACCATTTTGTTTTCACAGTGGCCAACAGGATGCTGCTAGGAAGCTCTCAAGCGGAAGACCTCTAAAGGAAGACAGACTTCTATTTATGCTATATCCTGCTGGTTTTGTGTTTGACTTTTAGTAATGTTTTTGAGCTACTGTTTCTGAGATTTCTGGTGTTTTTCTATGGTTTTTGGTGTTTTTCTATGGTTTTATATTTTATTATATGTCTCTCACTTAGCTTGTAAAGATTAGCTTGTGAAGATTTTGAAAAGTGATATCCCATTTGTTAAGAAAAATAAGATGCATTGTATGAACACAGGCCATCTCACATTTGCAATTTCAATTTCACAAACCATTTGTGGAATCTTGTCCTTTGGTTGCCTTTGGGTTCTTAGGGTTAAAGTGCCATGTTCTGCCATATACGCAGAAGCGGATGGCTTGGTGGGGCAGAAGCACCTATCTGACCTCCCACCAGGTGAATTCCTATTGCTTTCCACCAGGGGGAGTGGTGAGGCAGCAGCAAGTTCAGCTTGGTGCAAATGCAGCAGCTGAGCCAGTCTGGCACTGCTGCTGAGGTGCTTGCACTAAACTGCCCTCTCTGCTGTTTTTCCCTTTCCCTTCTCTTTCCTGGTAAGCAGCAGCAGCTAGGAGGTCAGGTAAGTGCCTCCATCCACTATGGCACCTAAGATCAAAACAGTGTTGAGTAGTCACACAGAATCTCTTACACATTGGATTCTATGGTGTGACTGTAATGCACAGCTTGTCTGTGCTAGGGAACTACCAAGGTGCTCTGCTGTCAATTGTTAAGCACATTTTAACCCCCTAATTGAACTGCTGCAATCTGTTTTTTTCTATTGTCTTCTCTCCCTCTTGAAAATATCTGCAGTTTTTAAATATGCTCTGAGCTACTTCCATTCTGCAATGATGCCACCACATCATTTATGAAAGCAAAAGCCAAGGTAACGGCAGCAACAGGGGAGTTTGTACCAACTGGAGAGGTGCACTGTCTTGCAAGAAAGAGCAAGGCAAGGACACAAAGAGAAACTAAGGATAATGGGGACTGAAAATGCTGTCGCTGGTAATGTACCCCAAAGAGGAGAAAAATGACAACAGCCCAGTTTTAGCAGAAACTGTGAAACTGGTTATAGGTGCCTGTTCAATATCAAGGAAGATCATTGGGCTGTTATCTTGTTGACCACCTAATTGATCTGGCATTCATTCCACTCTGTGATTACAGAAGTGGTCTGGAACTCATGCTGCTACCAGCAACCAAGGTAGCTATTATTCCATTAAAAAAACTAGAACAGAAATGAGGAAATGAAAATAACTCATGCGGATTGCTGGGAGGGTACCTGGTGCCTGTCGTTTATCAGACCAGGCACTGGCTGTGGGTACCAGGACTCAGAAGAGCCCCTCCCTGGCCTGACCTGCCACACACTCACTACTGGGCCCAGGTGATGGTGTGAGGGCTTCCCACCTCCATCTTCCTGTTGCCTCACCTGGACTCTGAGAAAGGGCCAAGACAATCCTTCTCAGAGTCAGTTATTCTGGGTGATGTGGCCAGGAGAATGGCTGCACTGCTGCTGTGGTTTGATTTGGCTGCCAGAAAGCTATCTTAAACTTATAATTTTTTTTACAAAAGATATTATTTTTTAATTTTAAGCTTAAAAACTTTTTTTAGCCACTATGGCAAACTGCCTAGAATGCCCAGAAGGACCCTGGAATTCTGCCACCTCTTAACGGTTGTCTAATAATGATATTTTCTATAATAGAATCTTGAATATTAGAGGAGAAATTGCCTAGAATTGGCTCAGCACTATTTCCAATAATAATAAATGGATTACTCCTGCTCTGGTCAAGCTGCAATCAAATTTTATTCTTGTTCGTTTATTTGAAGGCCAGTTGGACAATTAAGGTAGCTTTTGGACTGTCTTAATTAATGATCCCTGATGAGGAATTTGCTCGTATATTGGTTTCATGTTGCTGTGTCTGTTCTGTTTTTATGTGTATGGCATTTTTCAACTGTAATTTCATTATGACTTATAGCCAACACAGATAATATTTATGCACAATCCTTACAACTACCCTGTAAACAAGGGTTAGGAGTAAGGTCTTTGGCAAGAATTATTTATATCGCTATGTGAGAGGTGATGGTAGAAAGCAATAAAATATGAATGTTTTGAAAATGAAATACTGTGAAAGGAAAGATGAAGAGGACACAAATAATTCAGTTCAACAGATTTCAGCCTAAAATAGATATCAGGAAGGTATTTGCAAAAGGCAGGCATAGGTAGTGGAAAAAAATTAGAGGATGAATAATTTTGTCAGGGCTGAGCCACAGGCAGCTGCCTAAGGTGGGCCAGGATCTAGCAACCAGCAGGTTAGCCAGGAAGTCAGAGCTCAGGGATGAGCCAAGACATTAGAGATGAGAAACAAGCAAAACCGAAGGGTGAGACAAAGCTGAAGAACATGCAGAAAAAGTCGGGAAGACCTTGTTACTCAGGTTTAGGTCCAGGACCAATAGGAACACTTTTATAGCCCTTCCTATTCAGCAGTGTCCAATGGCCATCTTTAGTGGGTGGGACTAGCCCAGTGTTGGAATATAGTTAATGGTTAGGTAGGTGCTCCTAAATGCTGTTCAATGGCTCACTACACAGAGTAGTAAACACCCAGATGTGAATGTTCATTCCCGGTATGAGCCTTGGCAGCTCCTGGCAATTTAGCACCAGTGCTACGCTATTCCCAGAATATAGCTTGGTAATGGATCTTGGAGGACAATGTTTTCTTGATAATCTGAAGACCCATAAAATGCCATGTTAATGTCTGATCAGTAAATTACATGTTACACATGCAATTTAATGAAAAGTGGTCATAGGGAGGGGCTGTGATTTTGAGCAAAGGAATGGCAGAATTCACTCTATCATTTTTCCACTCAAAACTGCTCTCCCAGTACTGGTCGGGGAAGATGGGAGTGGGTGACTTGGAGCAAGAAAATGGCTAACGGTGAAAAGGGTGAAATAACTCCTTTCCTCTGTTGCTGCTCTGCTCACAGCCTTCTGTCATGACTAAAACACAGCCCCCTGCAATACTTCAAGAAAGACGCAGATAATGAAGAAATGAAGGCTGTTTCACTCAGAGGGAGGAGACCCTCAGGGGGGGCGAGAACCCTTAGAAAATGAGACTTCCTCGTTGTAGAATTCAGTGCTAGATGAATAAGACAAAAGTTGTGTAAGTCAATACTGCCATCTCTTTATGGAGGTGGGGTGGGGCCAACTGCAATAGGATAGGCCTTGCCAGCCTACATAAGGTTTCAGGTGGCCCCATTACGTGACTGAGACAACCTCAGCTAGCAGGGCCCACTGGGAACTTCTAAGGATCCTGACCTTTTTAGAGAGACCTGACCTGACTTTGTCCAACCAGACTTTGTCCAGCTTCACTTAACTGACCTGACTTTCCCCAGAACTGACTTGACCTGCGGGTCTGACCTGACTTGACCTGTTTATTGCTTCCTTTCCCTGCAAGCCCTAAGCCCCAGCTGAACAGATGACATCCCAATGCTGCTTTTCATTTTAAAACTGCAAGGGCTTTGTTACACAGATTTATATATAATATGCATTTGGGAGATCAAACTTCTGAGATGTTATTCTGCAGCAGAACAAAGAGCCGTGTTGGAAAAATTGCTCATTTTTAGGTAATGAGGGGAAAGCAAATAGCCCAGGCCTAAAGGGCAACACTTTGCTGTAGATTGGAAACATAATAAACAGGAGGAAACAAACTTGTAGTAAAAGGATGACTCAGAACTGAGAGAGGTTAATAGCAAGGTGCCCATGGGGTTTTCTCCTAACCCAAGGGTATTTAATATATTAATGAGTTGAAAAAGGATATGAACAGCAATTCGTTGAAATTTGCTGATGACTCAAAATGATTTCACTAGCCCGTTGAGGATTGTGAGAACTGCATGTTCCATATACATTGGAAGACCTTTGCAGGTAAAGGGTTCATGATGCAGTCCAACAAGCACTCTTCTTGTGCATCCACCAGTCATGCTGTTGTTGCTTTCACTGGGACAGAGGCCACTGAAATTAATGGAAATAGGGCAGCAGCAGTGGTTTGAGGTGAGGTCTGCTTCCTAAAGCAGTGGTCATTGACTTGAAAGTAGCAGTTGGTTGATAAAGAGGATAAAAACAGCAGTTCTATGCTCATGTGTCAATTCATGACAACTTTTCCTTCCAAGAAAGTATTGTGCACTTACTTTTAGCAAATTTGCTCAGGAAGTGCAGGTTCGCAGGGAGATTACAGAGGTACTGGAAAAATGCTTACAGACCCCCTTGAAATGACAAGATGACCTCGAGTCCCTACACCCACCAAAATTCTAAAGTGTCCTGAAAAATGAGGCAGAAAAGGGGAAACCCCTTCCACGAGGGAAGGAAAGTTTCAAGAGAGCAGGGGGCAGATCTGGGCACAACACTAGTTCATATATCTTTTAACAAAGAGATAAGTGTGGTCTGTGGCCAAATAGATATAGAAAATCACTAGAGAAACAGACAAACAAAAGACTGCTTCACAAGTGACCAGAAATGCTTCTTCTCACAATATGGATTTTTGGAAACATCAGTTGGTTAGAAAGTGCACCACAAAATTCACAGAAGAGTGAATTTTGAAGGATAGCTGTTCACATATTGTTTTGGGATATGCAAATTAGATAGGTTCACCTTCAAATGTGAACTGAATAGACTTAATCCCCCATTCTTAGAAATTGCCCTTAGAATGCTGTTCAAAATGTATT